GTTAAATAGCTGTCTGTGCTGTCTCTTATACACATCTTCCGATTTGAATGATTTTTTTTACCATTTTATAGCTATTATTTTACTCTTTAACACTGTATTAATAACTCAAAATCAATTTTTGCGACGAGTGACTGGTTTGGCTTGTCTTTGCCACATATATTATTTTAAAGTAAATAATATAAATAAATTGGTTAAACATGTTTGCTGCTAAGGACGAGAATACTAGTTTTACAGGGTGCTGCAGATAGGCGAGGGCCAAAGTATACTCACAACATATATATGCTTTTTTTGTAATGTAGAAATAATTTATTTTTTGTGTATAATATGCGCAACTAGGGAATATTCCAACTTAGTAGTGAGAAGAAATTTGTCATACCACATGGCAGCAAACATGCATGAAGTACCATTAGTAATTTTTTTTTTTAAATGAAAATAATTAATTACTGTAGAAAAATGTTGGTTAGAAAAGCATAGAAGCAAAAGTAGATGGTTCAACAAAACAGATATTTTCCTACTCGATTGCGATTATGGATATATTAATACTAATCTTTTTCCATTTTTAACATGATCAATACAAGTATAAATCTATCATTTTTTTCAAGACTACAATAAATACTAACTTATAAAAACTTTAAATTTAATAATTTGACAGAAAATACTAATAAACCTAATTTAATATTGCAAAGATTACCATAAGTGAAGTAAGGCCTTCATTTAAAAAAGTGAGCGATTGTGGCAACACTACCTACGCACTTTTCAAACTGACCACAGGAGAGCACTTTACTTTACATACCATTTAATCATATATAATAAACAAAAAATTAAGATGAATAATAATCAAATTGGAAACATTTTGTAGGCTTTTTAATTGCTCCTAGTTCTATTCGTATTTTAACGGTTGCGGTTTGCAGAGTGAAATCTTGTAAGCCCATATTTTGAAACTTTTGTCTGTTAATTTTTTTTATCTCTTTTATCAATCTTTTTATAGGCTATTTTAATTTGATGTATCGTGTTTGCCTCTGTGCTGTTTTGTTACTTGTTTGGCCAGGGGGTTTAGGTGATACCAGCATCTTGTGTTGAGCTCTCAGACCATGGTGTCCACTAGGAACCCCTCTGGCCATTTTCTGATTTGTAATTTCTGTGCCTAATGTGTTAATAAATAATTATATTCTGATATGTGCCAATTAGAGTTTGCGGACTATTTTTCCTCAATCAACAATAGATAGACAGAATCATTTGATAATTATTTGATCTCAGACACAAACAACATGCATGGGTGTAACGTTTATGCGAGTGTTCCAAATATTGAGAGACGAATTAAAGGAAGAAACATTATTGACAAATGAAGCCTGTACAACGGCATAAACCTGTCACATGTTTAGATTATTGTTAAATAGCTGTCTGTGTAAAAGACGTGGGTTAGTTGGTTGATGTAGGTCATGTTGAAACTTTGTAGTGAATCACTGTATGTACGCACGTACATTGGTAGCGGCAAGATCAGATAACCATCTATAGCCTTTGGCTTCTGCATTAATCTGCGAGCGATTCTCTCAGATTTCTTTAAATGAAGGCCTAGAAACTTGACAGCCCATCACCAAATCAATATGCAAAAATAATATGATCTAATAATTCTAATCAAAATTATAGATCAACATATACAGTGGAAGGTATTAGTAATGTGGTTTGAAAGAAGCCCTCAAGAAAATTTTTGAAAAATGAATTTGAACTTATTAATTGGCTGCTGCTATTCACACCTGAATTAAATTCACTTGGGATATCCATGGTAACAGGTGATAAATCTAGATCCAATAGGGATGGTTCTTCATGACCTCCTAAAATACTCAAATAGGCACTCATCTCACCGTTATCTTCAGTAGACATATCTTGGTTTCCTAGGCTTTGGAAGCCATCTTGACCGTTGCTGCGCTGGGAAGGATTGCTGTCACGCCCGCCCAGCACATCTTCAAACTCGCCCAGCTGCTGTGTAGGTATGTGTTTCTGAAGTTCACGAATCTCTTCTTCAAAGGATATTAGCCTGGCAGATATAGAGAAGTACAATTGATACACAAGAACAATATGGAGCAAAACAGAGTTAATAATACTGTATTATTATTTAATTTTTTAAATAATTATAAAGTTAATATACAGTACAACAAATGTAAAAATCTCTAATAGTAATTATCAGTCAAATCAAAGCAGGACTAATCTCTCTTCCCTTTTTTGACATTACAGTATATTTAAGGATATGAATGAAGGCAGGCTGAAATACTGTTTGGAAATACTGTAGGAAAAAAAAAGATGCTGATTGGGACATTTGTTATGGTGATAGGAAGAGAGTCCCAGCAGGGGTGTGGCAGAATATGTTTTTGATTAGTGTGAGGACTGGTTGATGGGAATGAGACTATTGTCTGGTTTTTATAAATCAAATACATTACAGTTTTAAACAAAAAGTATTCACCAATATCAAAATATTATAACTGAAGCATAGGAGAATGAAATTACTCAAAAAAAGCTTTTAAAATATGGTCAGGGAAAATGCCTCAAGTACTCTGTTTTTCTAGAAACTGTCTTTAAAAGAAGGCTAGAAACTGAAATTAAGCTTAAACTAGGGGGCGGTAATTTGTCTTTGACAGGTTTGAGACAAACGATTAGCAATGATCTACTTGGTTACTCAGCAAAGAGCTCATTATTAAATAAATTCAGCAGATTGTATTATTACAATCCTTTTCTAACAGAAGAAACAATCATCATCCGAGAAAACACATTGGACAAATAATACCTAAAATATTAATGTATAAAATAAAAAGCAATTTACCGATCATATTGCATGCTTAAGTATTCTATCAAAAGAAAAGGAGTTCAGTGACACGATAATGGAGTGATATTTTTCAAATATGATCTTGTATGATATCGATGTGTGATGACTTAAGACTCTAAAAAGGCATCATTTATAAACAAATTGGCCAAGTGCATTATTTCCTACGCAGCGAGATGGGAATGTCAATTGATGAAGGAACACAACATAATATTTTGGGTTTAAGTAAGAAATTAAAGGAGAGGAAAACAGGTATCATTAGATATTGTTTCTGTCTACAGTAGATGTACAATTTCCTATAATGTTTGACTTCCAACTGAATGGTCAAAATTGTGTAATAAAGTAAGGCCTGACAATATATCATTTTAATATAGTACTGAATTATTAGTTTAATTTTATTTATTTATTAATTAAAAAATTGTATGTATGTATTGGGTTTTATACATAACATAATACCAAGGTCTCTATGTACAACATACATAGATCTTAGTCAAATATTGATGCCTTATTGAGGGTATGGTTAAAAACTATAGATGCAAGGGACATTAGGCCAAAAAAAAAAATATATTGTTTGTTTGCCCTTCATATTTTAAATATGATAAATTGTGGAAAAAGTTTTTTTTTTAAATTTATTTATTTTTTTAAAAATAATTAGATGAAATAAAAATAACCCACAGAGGCCTAGAATGGCAATATCTTACATCAGAGAACTTTAGACTAATTTGTTGTAGGGCATCTGGCAAAAAATAAGGATAAATTCATTCACATTTTTTTTAATTTGTAAAGAAAAAAGCTAAAAAAAACCCCTTTTTTCAAGTATTTTGTTTTTCCGCCCCTATATTTTTCAGTGAGTTAGGGGTGGGTGGGTCGAGGTAAACAAACAATTTTTTTTTCTCCTTATCAAGGGGTGGAAAAGGGGCGCTCCCCTCCCCACAGCAACCAATTCACAGCAACCAATTCAAGTGTGAAATCATAATAGGTAAGTGACTTAAATGGCTAACATGCCAAAGCTTCAAATGCTATGCCACAATACAAGGAATATGAACTCCCATGACATTCCTCTTTTGGCTATAGGTTCCGCCTCTTGATTGCCATTTGCGACATCCAAGAAAATAAATCTGGACCCGCCACCGCCTTGGGATATACCATGCTCTGAGACAAAGACTGAAAGCACTCAATATTCATACAATATTGTAGCTTCAAGTTGGAAAACTTCCATTTTCTTTATAAATATACTGGGCTCTATTTTCAAACATGGGGCTTAGTGATTTATCCAACATGATTACTATAGTAGATCTGGTTCCCTGTGTTCCATTCTACATCTAAGATATGGTGGCATATTTGTACTAACACAAAGTTCAATCAATAGAAAAAAAATAAATTCATGATTCATCATCCTATTAAAAATATAGGTCTACCGGGCATAAAATTGCATATAAAGTGAGAACAACGCATACATTCTCACAATAAACCATCAGTCAACAACACAAAAATAAGGTACATAATTATGGACGACTAGTTGATTAATCACTTGGTCAATAATTAGTCTGTCAACATGATCTATAAATGCCTACTTCTGATACTTTGACACAGAAAAAACATTAAGCAATAAACATAGAACAGCCAGTCTCATTTGCTGAGCTACAAAAAAGTATATTACTATAAACTTCATAATACTTGTATGGATTTCAAAGGTAATTGTGTAGGGCTAATTTCTCACACTAAATGTAATAGGACTTATTTAAAATTGACTATAGGAACTCTGCCGTGAAGATAACTATTCATCATGGATCATTCCGTAGATTTCTAAGTGTATCTCAGTTTCTTATGTACTGTGATCATAAGATTATGAAATAGATACTTTGCTTAAATAAAAGGGCTTTGTTCAGAGGAACATGTTGGGAAGAAAGAATGTAATAGCTATGTTATACTGCTGGACAACCTTAAAATAGGCCTAACGATTCTTTGTAACAGAATATTTAGGTAAGATGAGAACTCTTGCCATATATAATGTTGTAATAGTTCAGGTATAGCAGGGTTGATGAGCAGTAAAAAAAGTATGAAGATACTTTTTGGATGAAATATGATAATAATAATTCAAACATTTTCCTTTTCATTTTTTTCATTTGGACACTTGTATTTCAGTCTGTTATCCAGATACAAAAAAATCAGGAAATTTGGTTTACACCAAGAAAAATGGTTTTATATTAATAGATAATATTACAAAAAGCTATAGAAACAATATTAATACTGTAGTTCCTCTGGTATAAGCCCATCCTCCTTGAACACAAAATTTAGTCAATTTTTGGGGATGGGCAAATACTGGGAAATCCCTTTTTAATCAAATAATAATATTTCATATTTTTTAAATATTTTGGCGCTGTATGCATAATTCAAATCAATATTTGATTCTTACTTGATGATTCGAGTCTTCTAAAGCTTCCACATATTTGACCATTTCTTCACTATAACTATTAATACAGAGGGCTTGATACTTCGCAGAGTGAGGATTAAGGTGCTTGTAGTCTTGCAGAGTGAGGTTTAAAATACTTTTCCAGCTTGGATTTAAATTCATTTAATGTTGAGGAATTAATTATTTCACTAGGTAGTGAATTCCACTTTTCGATAATATAATACGAGAAAAAGTTTTTTCTGTGCATAGTCCTAGTATGCTGTTTTGCAATCTTATGACCTCTAGTTATTGAGTCCTTTATAAAAACAAAATAATCATTTGGATTTATATTGTCAAAGCCTTTCTTCATTCTAAAAAGCTGCAATAAGCATGCCCGCTTATACTCTAAAGTATTTAGTTTTGTTACTCGTAATCTTTCTTCATAAGACATGTTTTGTAAAGGGGGAGCTAATTTTAATGATCTTCTTTGAACCTTTTCAAGAGCTTGAACATCTTCCTTATTATGTGGTAACCATGCAGTAGCACAATATTCTAAAGTAGGTCTAATTAATTATTTATATTATATTAATGGATTCAGTATCTAAGTAGCTAAATGAACGATTTATAAGACCAATCTTTCTATTTGATCTATTAATAACATTAGCTACTTGATTACGAAATTTTAAGGATACATCTATTATTACTCCTAAATCATTTATATTGGAAACACTTTCAAGTTCTACTCTATCACTACCAATACCCATGTAATATGTAACTCCTGTATTGTTTCTTCCCATGTGTACAATTTTACATTTAGATAAATTAAAGGGTAATTGCCAATCAACAGACCATTTATACATCATCTCAATATCATTCTGGAAATGCTCTGCATCAATTTGATTGTTAACGACTCTATACATCTTAGTGTCATCAGCAAATATCGCAACAAATGAGTTTACAATGGAAGGAAGGTCATTGATGAAGATTAAAAATAATAAACTAAGTACACTTCCCTGAGGTACCCCACTTGTAACTGGACTCCAGTCAGAAAAACTCTGTCCTAACCTAACTCTTTGTTTTCTGTTTGACAAATATGCCTTTATCCATATAAGTAAATGCCCACTTATTCCATATGATTCTAACTTTGTCAACAGTCTACCATGGGGGACACTATCAAAGGCCTTTTGAAAGTCCATATATACAATCAATCGAGTTTCCTTCATCTAACAATTGCGACCACTGGTCAATAACATGCATTAACTGAGTATTGCAAGAACGGCCTTTTCAAAATCCGTGCTGTTCAGAGCAAAAGAGGAAGTTATCTTCCATATGAGAAGATATTGAATTTTTTATAAATGTTTCCATTGTTTTACACAAGGTAGAGGTTAGGCTTATTGGACGATAGTTAAGTGGATCACTCCTGTTTCCTTTATTGGAACTGGAACTATATTAGAATTCCTCCAACTTTCAGGGACTATTTCATCGATAAGTAGTTTTTCAAACGCAACTGCTAATACAGGGCTCAATTCCTTTAAGACTCTATTAATATGAATACCATCAGGCCCAGCTGCATTAGAGATATTTAAGGCACTGAGGTACTCCTTAATTTCACTAACTGTAAATGGCACCATTGAGATAAACTGACCATTACACCTCAACTCAATACTAGGTTATAGACATAGTATTTTCCCTGATAAAAACTGATGAGAATGATTTATTAAATAAATTGGCTCTATCCTTATCTCCAGAGATTATATTTCCCTGTATATCTTTTAGGTTTCAAATCACACTATATGATTTTGTTTTACTATTAATATATTTCCAAAAACTCTTTTGATTAATTTTAAATTCATTAATAATTCTCTTCTCAAATAGTTTTTTTGCTTCTTTAACAACTTTGCTAGCCTCATTCCTTGCAGTTATATATTCTTTCCAACTCTCTTCAGTACGTTTCTTTTGATAGCGGTTTCATTTTTTATGTTTTTGTTTAATAACTCCCTTCACCCTCTTATTACACCATGGATTTTTCATTATTCTCTTATTTTGTCTTAGAGGAATATATTTATTTATATTTGTTACTATTATCTTTTCCAACTGCTCACATATCTGCACTCCCAACATATTGTCACAATTTATTGAAGATATTGACAATTGAACGCTTTTGCTCAACAGATCATAGTTTGCTTTATAGAAGTTCCTTGTATAAACTATATCATTAGGTGTATTCTTATCAAAATTAATAAATATTCTAAGGACACCATGATCACTTTTACCTAATGGATCAGTAACTTCAATACTTCCTATATCAGATTCTTTCTTAGATAGGACTAAATCTAATATACTAGGCTCCTCATTTTCTCGAAAACGTGTAAAATCTCTTACATGCTGAAACCAAAAAAAAAAACCTCACTTATTAAATCTACAAAATGTGCAGTTTCATTTCCAGG